TCTATTCAGTAATAAACCAGTTGCTCTTTTTAAATGATATTAAAACTGAAAGGTAACTGATGTTTTAATCAAAGTTTGATTTAGTTAAATATGAACTTGAAAGTGCTCTTGGGGAAGCTATGTTTCACTTATTTTTTATTAAAGAGAATAAAGCCAATCAAGACAAAACTGTGTAAATGATACAGGATTTCAAAACAAGACAATAGGAAATTAGTAATGGCTACCATAATGCGTCTTGTTGCCATCAAAATAGCTGCCCATACCATCAGACATGTTTTGTTTTGGTACTGGGGATTGAACTCAGGACCTCACACTTGCAGGCAGGCACTGTGCCACTGAGCTATACCCCTGGTTATGTTCCCCTTACGTAGAAGTGTACAGCAACTTACGAGCCTTATGAGCTTGCAAATTTTATAATGAATATAGTCATGTTACAAGTGAAAGCTTGACAGTAGCTTATAAAGTAGGTTCGTATTTGAAAGAGATTATATTCTATAGGGCAAATCTAAAAAATTATGAAACATTTGCAAAAGCTCATTTATTATGTGCTTTTTTCCTCTAAACCAAGCACTTCTCAAACTTAAGTGTGCCTAAGAATTACCTGGAGGCCTTTGTAAAACAAAGTCAGTCATATGGTATACAACTAATTACAGTACTTGGGAAGCTAAGGCAGGAGGATTCAAGGCCTGCCTGAGCTACCCAGTGAGATGGTCTCAAAACACAGACTCCTGCATGCGTGTACACACACATCTGCCTCCAGGAACTTCTGCCAAGAGTTGACATTTCTGACACATTCCCTACTAGGCCACTGCCACTGCAGTCTACCACGGAATCTGTAGAGTAGATGACTATTTGAAAGATGACTAATGGAGATGAGACTAATAGTAGACTCCTCTCTATTTTGGATTATTTTCTGAGGTGTTTCTGTGTATATAAATTTAAGTTAATATTGAAATTTTTTTTCCCTTCAAGCCTATGAAAAAATTGGGACTTCACTTTTTGACTGTGGATTGTTTGAAGACATATTTGCAAAATTTAATGCAGGTATGATTTATAACTAAGCATAATTTAGAAACAGTTTAGATTGAAATAATACGATGGGGGGCTGGGGATTTAGCTCAGCGGCATAAGCACCTGCCTTGCAAGCAGGCAGTCGTGAGTTCGATCCCTGGTACCAATAAAAAGGAAAAAGACTAAAAAAAAAGAAATAATATGATGCTACACTGATGATAAAAATCATTTTAGAAAAATGTTCAGTTTTATTAAATGGAAAAAGCCCATCACAAAACTGTGACACACATGTACAGCAGAAAAAAATGTAAAGATACGCAGTGTTACAGAAAAACTATGTATCATGGAAAGTTATGTGTAGGTAGTTGCATTATGGGGATTTCTTTTGTCCTTTCATTACTATGTTTTACAAATATCTTATACAAATACCTTTATAATCAGAAATAAGACTCAAAAAAACAAGACACAAAAGTTACTGCTAAAATTGGAGAATATAGGCTTTGATAAACTGTCCTGCAGCGTATCCCTCACACCTCACATATGCAAAGGGTAAAGTCTCAGTTCTCCCAACACTAATCTTCAAATCTAATCCAGCGGGGGAAGGGGTAGGTTAGGGTTAGGGTTTGCATTGTCACTAATTCTAAAGTTCACCAGGAAAAAGACATTTTTGTAGAACAAGAAATACCGATGTTTGTGTTGGGAGAGTAAGACCCACTATCTTTCTGTAAAATATCAACCATTTTTGAGTCCTCTTTTCAGACCTAAATTTCCATTTATTTCTGATGCTGATCTGATCTCTACCATGGCTGCCATACATAGCTGTACACTGCACCTGCTTGCTAGCATTTGGTGTGAATGGCTCCCCGAGAGGACACACACAGTGCTCCACACTCTGTTCTTTCCTATGATATTAGTACAATAGGTTTTTCCTGTGGGGAGCAGTATTTCATATCCTTATCTCAACATAACAGCCTTTCTCATTTGGATTTTAGTTACATGTTTTTATTTGAATTTTATATAGTTACATTTATAACCAACTGAACTAATATTCTGAAAAATCTATCAAAAATAATGTATCGGGCTGGGGATACAGCTCAGTGGCACAAGGTGCTGTATTTGATTCCTAATACCTCCACCCCAAAAAGAAAATACATGATGCATCTTTTAATAGTCTGTTATCTGCTAATGGGAGTATCCTTACCTGTTTGTTTTTGTATTTTTTTTTTAAAGGCACACTTTAAATGTTCTAGAAAGCTTTCATTTTTAAGGGACTTGGTTTTTTTTGAGATCATCTTGCTGTACAGTCTAGGCTGGCCTTAAACTCATGGTGATCCTCTTGCCTCAGCCTCCAGAGCTCTGGAATTACAGGCGTGTGCCACCATTCTACCATGTGACAGTTAAACTATTTGACAGTCTACTTAGTGGTGCATGTGCAGTGTAGTACCTTAGTGCATGGAAACCAGTTTAAAAGGCTCAACTCGTGATACCACAGCTTATCCTCATGTCTGATGTGATCTAACTGATGTTTCAAATTCATTGCAGTTACAGAATTATGCAGAAAGATTAATTTTTAATATAAAACCTTTCAATTTTTAGGTCTTAGAAATGACATGGTCATTATGTAATAGTCACTATAAAGTTTAATGATAAAGTATTGTCTTGCTGAGTTTCTACAATGAAAACTTTCCTATTTCTAAGTAAAACTGAAGCCTATGTAACATTAAAAACTGGATGCATTTTTATGAAAGATTTGCCATTATTGTTACTATTCTAGCCATTCTGTCTCAACAAATCTAGAACAGTGTAGTATGGATGTTACACAGCCACTGTGCTCAGGTTTTCAAAGACAGAGAAGAGACTCATTCTGCTGTAAGCATATATACAGAGTATTGAAGACTTGCAGCTTTGTGTGTGGTAACTGTTAGAAATCCGTCCTAAGTCACACCACGAAGCAAAGGTGTAAGTACAGCAGTTCCTGCTCACAAGACTAGGCTCTCTGCATGTGCGGCACAAGCACTGTGTGGATTCTGTACTTACAACTAAAAGGGATAGAAACTACTAGATTATTTCTAACTATATACTGAAGCGTTTAAGTTACTTTTTTTCTTTTCAAAGCAATAGAAAATAAAATTCATGAATCTAAAGAAAGGCTGAAGCAGTTAGAACAAGAAATTGAACTACTTCAAGACTTAAAACAAACCCTCTCGTCTTTACAAGACAACGGAGACCTCACATCAAGTACTTCGGTGTCCTCCCTGTCCCCCTAACCGCAGTCAAGTGCAACAGAAACAGCCTGCAGCCTGAAGACCCAGTTTGTGGACGCTGCACTGACATTTCACGCACACTCTATCATCTCACTTTTTCTACTTGTTCCTCTCTAATAAAGTGTTTTTGGTCCACCTGAAGAAACTGGACCAGGCTTCCCATTTTCCCATTCTCTGCAAATAAAACCCCGTAGGTGGCTTTCTCCTGGTGCACTTTGCCCTAGCCCAGATCTTGAGTTGATTCCAGTCACACACAGAGCTACCTGCTAAGGGGAGGACACCTTTTTTTAAAGGCACACTTAAAAGTTTACATATCCTGTTACCAAGTCTTACCTGCTGTTTGCTGTCTCCTGTCCTCTTGTCCTGAAGGTTCATAATTGTCTTCCACTTATTCCATCTGAGGTTCTTTAATCACTTCTCAGTTCAACTGCTTTATCTCATATCACATCATAAACTCTAGCAGAAAATAACTTTCATGTTTTGTTCACTATTGGCCTGAGTTTTGCTCACTATCATATTTCCATACCTCTAGCATTCTTAATGTGTACAAAATCAGTGCATAAAAGTTCCTAACTTTTGATTCTAATTCCAGCCCATAACGGCCCTTGGATGTACTAAGTGAATGTCTTTGTGTTAGTGTTTTTTAGAAATTTCTTTTAAGCCACAGTCTTTACATGGATTTTCATCATCTTTGAAACAAATACCAAATTTAATACTACAGTGTTTGAGTAAGAACAGTGGGAATATGAAATAAAAATTAAAACCACCTTAACATATTTTCTCTATTCTAACCATACTAACTGGCCTATGGTACGTTCTAGAAGATTAGTCCCCAACTGTAAATTTCTGCTCATGCTACTTACCCGTTTTTGGAGATCAGCCAAAACAGCACCAACCACCTTCAGAAGAATTGCTTGTCACATTAACCCCGTTCAGTTTTCTCTATTTTGAAAAGCTTTCTAAATGTTTTCCTAACCATTAATTCCTAAGCTGGTATTTTCTCTAACAATTTATATGTTCCTTAAGAGTAAGGAGTATGTCTATCTTTCACATATAAGTGAAAGACTGAGTTATATTTTTCTGTGACAACAGTTAAACTTCATTTTTAATAGGAATTAAATCCAAAGATTTTTATGAAGTGTTTGTGTGTACAGTTGAGAATCAAGGAGTTCACATGTTGATAGTAATATGTCCTAGCCCCATACCAATAAATATTTTTTAAAATATTATGGTAAAATATGACAGAAAACCTATCAGCGCTGCAATTTATAAATATACAGTATATGTACAAGCCAGTACGTATGCAAAACAACTATTCATCCTGTAAAACAAACTACCCATTAGGTAACTCCACATTCCTCTTTCCCAACTCCTGGTAGTCACCCTTCTGTCTCTCTGATCTTGAATTTGCAGCATTTGTCTTCCCCGAGCAACTTTTTTTTTTTTTTTGAGGCAAGGTCTTTGTAGTTCAGGAGGCTGACGCTGAACTCACAGCGATCCTCCTGCCTCAGCCTCCTGAGTGCTGGGATTACAGGTGTGCATCACACCCTCAGCCCTGACAATTCACAAAGCAATTTCAAGGCCAACCTGAACTGTGTAGCAAAACCCTGTCTCAAAAAGACAAAACAAAACACATATAGTTAATTTATGCCGCACCATGTCACAATTTCCTTTTTAAGGCTGTTTATTACTAACTTCTAAAGGGAAAAAACAACTCTACATGCCTCCCTTAAAGGATTACTTTATTAATATCATTTGAAATATTACATAAATACAGCCTATATACAAGAGTATCAAACATTGTTCCAGTAAGAAGCTTAAGAGTACATTCAAGGTTATTTTAAGAATGTGAGTGCTTTGGTTTCCATTACATCACATGAAAAAAATTAAAGGACAGTTTTAATTTGCTATGAGTAACAACAAAACCAAGTAAAAAAATAAGACAGTGTTGTCTTTAAAAAGTACTTTTTGAAGGACTTGTTCTCTTCATTACCATACATACACAAATTACTCAGTAATCTGAGAAGTGGTTCTTCACCTATATTAGGAACTCGATATTTTTTTCCAATGAATAAACTCTGGAGATGGATCTACTACTTTAATTTGTGCTTTTGAAGGTTTTTTTCAAGTAAGCAATAGTAAACAGTTTTCATACCATATACCTACAAAACACTGGGACAAACACTATTATAATCGAATTGATGCTCATTCACCACGTAACCATTTTTACAGAGCTAATTCTAACCTAACAGTTCCACGGAGCTTCAGTCATTGTGTGATATGATCAAGGAAGGGCGTACAGGGCTGGGACTTTAGGTTTGCTGCTGTTTGGCTTATCCACAGTTCCTATCTTTGGGTCCTCACTCCCTACTCACCTGTAAAAACACAGTGGCTACAGAGTACTTCTTTTCTCCTGTTAATGTGGCTGTGGAAACATTCAGGCCGTCAGTCCAGAGGGGGCCTTCTCAGCAGCAGGTGGAATACATTACGGGAACTTACACAAACGGGAATGACTTCACGAACCAGAGAGGGGGACCAAGTTTTGTTCTTGAAACAAGCTCAGTGAACACATGATAAAACTCAGAGGTAACCATTCAAATTCCAAGGTCTTATTTCATAATCAGACCCTCACACCCCCCCAGAAAAAGAAACTTAAATGAGGTCTTTTTGGGGAAACCATGATTTCCCATCTCAACATCAAATTTTATCAGATTCTACCTAACACAAAAAAGAAACCACAAGTGGAAGTTTGTAAGTAAGTTTGTGATGGAATTTGGTCTGCATAAAACAGATAAAGCAAATTTCATTAGGTTGTAAAAGAAAGTTCTTTTTAGGGACCATTTCTCAAGTCAACATAGCAGGCCTGGTTTATCATTCATAACAGAAAGGCAAAGGAATCCTATATATGTCATTGTTTTTCTCTTACAAAGGGAAAAGGTGGAGTTAACTTAAATTTTAGTTCTAAAATTCAACTCATAAAATGGATAAATGCTGGAGATTCTAATATATAAAACATTGGCCTGTATCCAAAGTTTCCTTCATTGTCAATCTTTAATAGACAGTTATAAATTATTATTCTTGATGACTTTAATCTTGAGGAATCTTAGCATAGAATGACTACTTTTTAATAGGCTTAACTCAAGGGGGATATTATTCTGATACATCTCAAAGTTAAGAAGTCATCATTAGCAAAGCACAGGAACAAAAGTCTCCAACTGGTCTACCTTCTCCCTCACAGCAGGGTACTAGCCGGCACCGGATGGAGGGAGCCTGAGCATGGGTACCTCCATGGCAGGCCTGCACAGACCTCACAACTGACAAACACAATCCTGGCACTGAAGGGCTCTGACACATAACCCAGGAGAGCTGTACAACTTCCTAGTTCTGAATTCCGCAGTCCTCTAACTCAAAACAACAGCAGCTACACTTGCATACTTTTCTTAGTGTTCAGGTCAAGTGTTAAGACAGGTTACGTTTAATGTTTCTGAAAAAAGGTTGTTTAAAATAGGCTCAGAAAAAGCCATACATCCTTCACGAATTCCTACAAAAACTGTCTGAGATGTGACAGAAACCACCAGATAGGCTTTACCTGCGGAATCACGCTGCCTGTCCAGCACAGCCGGACACATCCCCGCAGTGCCCAGAGCACACACTCGCACCCCAGCAGCTTCAGTTCTTAAAGGCTCCACATTTACTGGCTTTCGCAATGAACTCCTTCAGCAGAGGGCCATCCATCTGCCAGAATGCTGCAGTCTGTGTGACTTCTGTCAAATGATTGATGCAAAATTTAAAGCAGAATTCTTCTAAATCCTGGACACACAACAAAAATAAAAACAAGAAGAGGGCTTTTAAAATTAATTTGGAATTCTCTGTTACCTCACCCCAACTCTTTTACCTTTCCCCAAAACACTGCTGAGAGGCCAGATGCCTTAAATTAGGCAAGCAGTGACCAGAACAACATGTACTACTTGTAACACAGTAAAAACAATGGTTGGTTCCCCAAATTCAAATGTGACTCCTGGGGAGGGGATTCTTCCTTGGTTATACAGTCCAGTTATACTCAACACACTGCTGCACAATGCTAAATAACACTTTAATCCATACAACGGCTTTGTTACATTTTAGAAATCAGAAAAAAGTAAGGTGTGGATTAAAGAAGAGACTTTTAAAAAAAAAACAAGATGAATATTTGTGGTCAGGAGATAATTACAGACTAGGAAAAAAATCTTTACAACTTCAAAGTCACTTTTGCACTGTCCTAATGGGTGTGCATGGGGGGGGGGGTACAGCAGATCAAACCCAGAGGTTCACACACATTCGGCAAGTGCTCTAACTCCTGCTTTCTGAAAGAATACATACATCACACTAGTTTCCCAGCTACGCAACCTCAGAAAACTGTATTTTCACCGATTAGATTTTTTTCCATCAGGCATGGAAAACCAACTGCCAACATTCAGAAAGAAAAAAATATATACAAATGATAAACCAGAACAATTTAAAAATCATTTTTCTACTTACATTTATACATCTATCCTAATAGATGTATTACTTCAAATGTTGAACACGTTTATTTAGGAGGAACGTTGAATGTATACAATACAAAGATGGGGTACATAAAATCAAATTACACTACAAGGTCTTAACACATGTGGCTTAATTTTTATAACCTTCCCAGCTGGTTAAAAGTGAGTATTTAAAATGTAGGTCTTGACCTCGTATTGCCACCGGCCTGGAGGTGGGCATTCAGGCAGAGCGCGCCCCACACAAACACACCTTTCCTGCTCTCTCACCACTCAGTATTTCCTTACGCAAAGGCTCCCCGTCCCTGGCTGAAAGATGCCCAGGACCATAAACTCAGCAAAGTTACTAGGGAGGGAGCTATTAAGAGATAATGTGATGGGCCAACTGCTGCAAGAGTTTTATATTTTGGGTAATTCAAAGTACATTTAAAATGTCAACATAATGTGTGAATTCATGTTTCTTACTCAAGAGGTTGCTAGTGTGCTAAAAGTAGAAATTAATGTTATATGTATTATAAAAAACTAAAATGTAAACCTATGTAAAACATTCCCACTCATGCTTATTTAAGAAAAAGCAGGCTTCTATGTAATACATAGCTCTTAGGACTAATTGTCCCTTTTGGGGGGGGGGGCAGGGATTGAACTCATGACCTCGCGCTTGCCAGGCAGGCGCTTAAGCCACTGAGCTAAATCCTCAGCCCAATTTCCCACAAGGACATAAAAATCACATTTAATCATTTCTAGTAATCAAAACTATTAAACAATTAACATATAATTTTAGAAGTAGCCATATATAAGCACAGAAAACTCTTCAAACTATGTATCAAACAGTAATCTTCAAATATTATACTTTAATTACATGACTTCAAATTTACAGGAAAAAATACACTAAATTCTGGAATCATAATACTTTATCACTTCTGTGTCTACTAATCTGGAATTCCAGATATTTTAGTGTATAAGAAAAAGTTTTTATTCATCTGATTATATAGAAATTACTGTAAGCAAAATCTTTATGAACTCTATATAGTATAGGTACACAAATGGTGCTTCTAATTATAATTCACTCAATACATTCATACAAATATTTCCATCAAACGTCTTTCCCTTCCCTTCCAATTAATCTGAACTGGTGATAATGTATATCTTAGGATTCAACAACTGTTTATCAGTTTCAAACACTACAGAATACTTACAATAATCTAAATCTGGCTTACTTAACTAATTGAACTTTTACTACTGCAAATCTATGTAAAAGAAACCACTGAATACATTCAGACAGAGACTGAGTTTGCAGTTCATTTTCTCAAATGGACAGTGGCAGAGTCAAGCAATCTCACTTACCAGTAGTTGCCCTGAGTAGTTGCCTTTGATGGGTCAACTAGGCAAACAGCCTTGTACTAAGGCCACTTGTTAACACAAGCACACATATTAGCTATTCCCCTCATTCTGCAAATGATCAAGTTCTTCAATTAGACTACAAAATGCCAACTTCTACCCAAATAAGACCAGGTGTAAAAAGACTGCTAGGCTTTAACTATAAAACAATTACTAAAAGAAATTGTCATATCAGTGAATTAAAAAAGGTTCACAACAGAATGAAAGTAGATGAAGTATCATTTAATCAGAAAATGAAAAAAAGTTCATAATAAAAATCTTTGTAAGGTCCATGGAATAAAGTCTTATTACTAGAAAGAATATGATATTCTATGGTGAAATTTTTATCAAGTGGTTCTCAAGCAAATCATCAGACTTATAATGTGCAAGAAAGATTACAATAAAAGTTGCCATTCTGACATAGTTTAGTTGGACATGGTGACATAAGCTTGTAATCCCGGTAGTCGGGAGGCTGAGGCAGGAGGACTGCTGCAAGCTCAAGGCAGGCCTGAACTACACAGCAAGACCCTGTCTCAAAAACACCAAGAAGTAATCTATGCATTTCCAAAACTTTAAAGAGTTAAAGTGTTCCACTCATTATACATACATCTCTAGAAAGTCCACAGATTTTTAGTAACAAAACACAGAGGAGTGATGGACTTAAATAACCTTTTTAAAAATGTCAGTGCAACCTTAGGAGTCTTTACCTAGTCCTCAAATTCCAAAGCAAAAATTCAACTGAACCCTTACACTTCTTGGAGGACCACCCCCCTAGAGACAGGATACTTTGTATCACACTTGCGATACATCCCAGATGACAAGAGAGTCATGTTCATTTTATAATACTTCAAGTGTAAGTATTTGAGGTCAGTGTAGGTTTTGATGTTTTCAGAATGAAAGAAAACATAAAGGTGCTTTCTCTAAACAAAGATTTCACGGCCTGTTCATCAGGGAAAATGTTCAATGTGGCTCTGTGAAAGAGGGAAAAGCAGGGGGATCACTGTAAGCGCCAGGCCAGGCTGGGTGACAAAAGTGAGTTCTAGGCCAGCCTGCCGCTGCACGCGACGAGACCCTGTCTCAAAACAAACAATTCCTAAACTCTCACTTATCGCTTCTAAAAAAAGCAAATCATTAGGATATAAGTTTTTCAGCAAGTAAGATTTTTGTGTAAAGTTCTCTAAACAAACAAACATATAGGAAACAAAATTTTACTGAAAAGGATCAGTATAAATAGAGGCATTTCAAAAGTTTTATACTATGCTGCTGATATATCCTGAGATGAAGTTTTATTCCCATTTTCTCTCTGGTTGTCAATATTTACTCAGGTCTTTACCGGAGGACTATTTAAGTACTCCTCCAAGTCTCTCTTTATGAAACAAAGAAGGTTTAATAATGTATTCATAATGCAAGAGCCCCTACAAATCTTTTAACTACTGAGCCTATAATTTTCTGTGAACATTTGCTTCAAATTATGTCCAAAAGGGACATGGAGGTACCACAGTGACTTTACAGAAAAGAGAAGCAGTAGTCTCCATCATCCTAGTGTCTGACTCTTACATGATGCAAAGTCATTTACTATTCACACACTGAACTGCTGAAATTTTAACTTTTACAATTAATTTGCAGTGTGACTTACTATAATGTAGCTTCCAATCAAATAATGCATATAAGTGGGTTTGATTTTTATACTTCAGTACTATTTACTCACTGTATTCTACAGAAGTGAAATATAAAAGCACATTAACCCTTCATATAGATCATACGAGAACCTAAAAATGACACCATGAGAAGCAGCAATGCTTTCGCTTTCATGTTTCTGTTACCTGTTTTTTCTACATTGTATAATACTGAATGTGAAGTACTTGTGGATTTTAGGTTTTAAATATTCTTTTTAAAAATACCCTTTTTAGTAGTATAGATATATTCATTCAATTCAACATATATATGGGGCTTCTTTTGTGGCTTTATTTTTGCAGTACTGGATGTTGAACCCAAGGGCTTCCTACACGGCAGTCAAATGCCACTGATCTGCATTCCAGCCCAATTCAACATGTGTTCTGGCCACAATATGACAAGCTCCAGGAATCACATGCAGTATTTTTGCAGTCTCTCTAAAATAACATTTTTTTTTATTTAACAGAAAAGTAACAAATTTTTAATGTGTTATTATTTAATATAAGAAAAATAAACACCAGCAAAGGAACAATCAGCTGTTATAGACAAAACTGGCATAAGGCTTTTTCTGTAAATTCTAAAATTCACTTTCTGGAGTAAATTTTAGCTGAAGGTAAGGAAGAAATTTGCAGCAAATAGGGTTAAGATATTTGCCGCCCCCCGAGTTGTTCTGAGTGGTGTGATTCAGCGAGGTCCGAGTTAGGGTACGGAATCAGTGAACACAGAGGGCTATAGAAAAGCACAGGGACGGTTCTGGAATCAATACCAAAGGAGAGAAAAGCAGTGACCCAATTTAAATGGCATCCTTGAGTGAAAATTAAATCTAAAAAGACTACATTTCAAAAGTGTTACAGGAAGGTAAGAAAGAAACTAAACCTCTGTTTCCTGTTAGACACAATTTACTGTGATCATCTTCCATCCGTTGTCAGGCTGCAGAATCAGCTCAATTTGACCTTATCAAATATTTATAATCATGAAGTTTTAAAAAATATTTATAATCATAATATAACCTCAAACAAAAATAGAACAATTTCAAAAATACAAAACATAATGGTCAACTGAGTCCTTAAGTCCTTAAGTGTGACAGACAGCAAGGCTTCCTCTATTACACCTCAAAGACCACAGAGCAGCACTTTGATAAATTCCCTGATAAATCTGCTCCCTTTGTCAAATGACAAAATACTTACAGTAGTGCTATTGTGTCATTTAACATGCACACCTTAGCTAGATACCTTAATCTTCTTTATATTTTATTCTCCATGAATTTGTAAAGCCAACCATAACAGTAAATAAATCATCTTTACTCCAACCTTTAGGTGTTACTGTCTTGGTTGAGTTGAACAAACATTCAAATGCCCACTACATTCCAACACTACAGATGGAGGATGAACACGGTCCAGTTCCTGCTCAGAAGGAGCTTACAATCTGATGACTTGCTTCTTAAGTTCAAGAAAATACACCTCCAGAACTTTCAAAACTTATTCACTTATCCAAATCTTATTCAATCCCAGTAATTCATCAACTACAGATCTGAGAATCCAGCGCAAAGAGAGAAACAAAAAAAGGAGTCCACAGGAAGCTTTTAACTAGTGCAGGAGTAACTGTGAGGTATAATCAGACAGTGATAAAATTCCAGAGTGCACACAATATAAATCACATAGCCTCCTGCGCTTCTGACAGGACAGAGGTGGGAGGCAGCACAGCAGATCTTGACAGACACAGCGAGACAGACAGTGAGAAAGACCAGAAACTAAAGAAGCCTCTGGCTGCGGTTAGGGTCCAGCCGGCAGGCAGCTGTGCTGTCAGGCAGTTAGGTCCTTATCTTAGTGAAAAATGGAAGGAGAGGAACAATCAACTTTGGAAAAGTGAATGGAGGACACAAGAAAGGCCAGATTTCACTTTTTAAGGGTTAGCCGATCCACTGAGCCCCTAAACAGAGAGCTGCTCATCAGGTTCCTGTGTTACGCGCGAGAGGGAGAGCAGAGTGAGGTGTGGGCGGGTTAGCTGCGCTGCTGCTGTTAGGTTACCTCTGCGTCATATCTGACTGCAGCAGAGAATAGTGAAAATGCATTCTCCACAGTAATTCCGCACTTGATAATGTGCTGGCAAAGTTTTTTCAGTCTGTTTTCACAGTAAGATGTCGCCAAATCCAAAAGACCTGAAAGTAAGACGTGTGCAGTTTTAATGAGGTGACAGTGACTTCCCACAGCTCACAAGCACACATACTTCATCTGGGTGACCAGGGCGCTACACAGGGGGAGCAGAAGTTTCTCAGCAAATAATGTCTGAATTTCAATAAATACACTTTTTTCTCCCTACCTACAAAAATATACTTTTATACAATTTCTTCCGTAATAAAAAGGGGTAAAAATATAATTCCCACCTTCATTTTGTTTCTAAAATGCTAAACCCACTAGTAATTTATACTTTAATATTAAAAAATTAAAATAAGTCTACAGTCATAAACTTTGTCCATAATTATTAACCATGATAAATACATAATACTGTACTATTTTTAAAGACACTGACTTTTAAAAACCCCACGAAAGCCAACGTCTCTGAAAGTGTTAACGTTTCCCGGCTGCAGTACCTATGGCGTCTTCGGGCGGCAGATCCACTGAGTCTGTGTAGAGGTACTGGAGAAAGGCACGGTACACGGGGTAAGAAAACTGATCTATTTCTATCACCTCTTTCATGTCCTCATTCCAGTAGGACTGGAACATGGATCGAAAATGCTCACACCTAAAACAGAGGCAATCATTACCTAATCAAAGTGACAAAATCAGGTGAACAGCTAACAGAGGTACCCTGAAGTACTGTATTTGGGCTTTCACAGAAACATCCCCTCTGCAAGGGCTTTGAAGTGCACCTTCCACGTACCCTGTCACTTCTGGTATCTCCTAATAAATATTAAGAATTCCACATACAACCCAGACTACAATTTCATTTCACAGTCCCCATTCTGATCAAGGAGGAGAGCAGGAGAAAGAGAGAAGGGACAGGAGGTGAGAGGAGACAAGGGGAAGGGAGCAGGGTGACAGCGGAGAAGGGAGGGTGAGAGGGGGGGAGAGAAGGGAGGGGAGAGGTGGAGAGGGGCGGGCAGGGAGGAGGAGCTCTGCTGGAGGTGGTCCAGGAAGAAGAGGAGGGGAAGGGACACAGAGTTGCATTTTGAATAACAAAATTAGGGCTGGGGACATGGTTCAGCAACGGGGTATTTTCCTAGCACACACAAGATCCTGGACCCTTGGTTCAACCCCTAGGACCAAAAAACAAAAACAACAGCAACCACAAAACAATGAAATGGAAAAAATCAAAAGTGAATGTTAAAAATTTTGCCTATATATTGTCACTGAAATTATTCACTTGTTTTATGTAATCAATCTATTTTTAAAACTGTGTCAACCAGAGTGTGTTAAACTAAATACTATTCCGCCATCTGACAAGGTATTTCCCTCCTTCTAACTCCTCTCTGGAGCAGCGTCGCTCTCACCTGTTTCTATGCTTGGCCTGCTCCCTTTCCTCTGCACCAGGCCTGTCACAAACTTCTTTATAAAACACATTTCCTAGGACAATCTTTACTTCAAGAAAGCCCAAGTGGGGTCTTCATACTGTATTTACATAAACAAACCCACTAACTTAAGGAAAAGATTCTAAATATCAGATTTCCTTAAAATATTACATACTAGCTGGGCATGGTGATGCACACCCATAATCCCAGCACTGGGGATCACTGTGAGTTCCAGGCCAGCCAGTGCTCCATAGTGAGCTCAAGGCCAACCTGAATTACACAGAAAAAACTTTAAAATGTAACAAACTTTTACAAATAGCATGTAGTTTTAAAATCATCTTTCCAAATCCATTTAAAATAAGTACAAAGAAAGACATTTTCAAAATCCATTCAAATATTAAAAGAATGGCTCCAGTTATATAATTATTCCATCCGAGAAATTAAGAAAAAATACTTTTCTAAGCAAAGAACATTGGTCATAATGTCAGGAAACACACCAGCTGAGCACAGGGTCACAGAGAAACACTTCCAGTTCATCTTCTCAGCAAACACTGCTGCAGTTCAGACATTTACTATTTTAGGTAATGAATGACAGATGGCTTTCTGGTTGCCTTAAAAAGCATTATTTGCGGGGCTGGGGATTTAGCTCAGCGGCATAAGCACCTGCCTTGCAAGCAGGCGGTCGTGACTTCGATCCCTACTACCGATAAAAAGTTTAAAAAAAGAGCAAAAAAGCATTATTTGCAAAATAGGCTTTAACTAAATTTTCAAGAAAGTTTAAATATCCAGCTTTAGAACTAATTTAATGTACCTCGTTCTCACAACAGCAACTTCAGTGAGGAACAGTCCTAACAGTTATTCCCTCCCATGTATTTCTACAAGAAACTCCTGCCACTTACTGTATGTATCTAAAGAACTTTCCTTTAGTTGAGAATGAGAGGAGTACGCTGGCTAGAGGCCCAGCATTCCCAACTACGGGCTTTCTGCTTGAAATGAATGAATTTTTAATAGTAAAAATTCACTGACAACCTTTTGTCAGTGCTGGAGCTAAAACCCAGGGCTTGTACAAGGTACGTAAGTGATCTATAACAAAAATACCTGATTTTCAAAACAGCTTTATGGACATGAACATATTTCCCATCAATTCGAAACTTCAGATCAGCAGTTTCTGGACTATCAAATTCTTTCTTCAGCGACTCTGCAACTGTTAAAAAGTCTTCATGTTCTGAGGGAAGCAGACACAATATTAGTACAGAATGCTCAGGGGACGAGCAGAACATGAAAGAGTTCCAAAAGACTGGTAGCAGCATGATGAATAATTCCACTTAAGGTATCTTCAAGAGTTCATGTCTTATTTGACAAATCAATTCACAAAGTATCTTCCATCTTCAAAACAACAACAGCAAACAACAAAAGCAAAACAAACCATTACACATAAAACAAGTATTGAGAAAAGCCAAATACAGTCTTAAATGCTTAGACATGAGAAATGAGTGTTTAAAAAAAGAGAGGTAATCCACAAGGAAACAGCCACTCAAAACTTGAGTATTCTCTTCTAGGTCTAGAGGTCAAAACATTAATTTTTCTCAATTGAAACACTAAGAACACCTGGGCTGTGTTTTGAGTTAGTTTCCAGGAGACCTTCCTTCAATCAAGGAGGCCCAAGAAACAGCCCTAACACAAAGCAGAATACTAAGTGGTCAGCTTCCTCAGCAGGGCCACTTCTCCCTATGCACTGAAAGCTAAGCACCCATCTAATTCTAAAAACCAATATACAACCAATAGCTCTTTCACACTATCTAGAAAGACAGCAAATTTACTTAGTATATAAAATAGCATAAACAGTAAAAAAGTGATCGCCTAACCTGGAATATGTAAGTAGATTCTAACATCTGTGCAAATCATGGAACACTTCCTTTACATGTTCTTTGCATGAAAAGAGTGTAATAGAATTATCACTTGCCAAAGCCCTGTGACCTCAACCTACAACCCTCCTTAAACCCCACAACACAGTTCTTCTGCCCCTGGAGGAATGCTGGAAAAATCCACATGAATCAACCTTTCCCTGTGCTAGCGCCTGACCTACGGCAGGACAAAAGGAAATGACTAGGACAGGCAGAGTCCAGAGGTCAAAATGTGTCTCCCACCCATCCAAAGTACAAGTGTTAGTGCCTCTTCCTCTGTACCTAGTCACAGGGTTGAAATGAACCTTTCCTCCTCTTGGTTCCTGGAAACGAGTATAATACCTCCTTTCAGACAAGAAATATTCCTCAGTGGCGTGAATTCACCATTTGACCTTCTCCTAACACTCAGCTGAGATCATAACTGAAAGGGAAAATCACTTCTGGCTTTTAGTGGCTGGAAAAGGGAAGAAGCCATCTAGGAAATAAAGCCAATGACCATATTTTGTTTTCCAAATTTAACAATAAAAATGTCAGGACATTGTTCTGAAGAGAATATCTGTGCCATGTTAAGTTGAGCCCTTTTATATATGGGTTCATGGGTCCAGGTTAAGCGGGATACAGAAACCTCAGGATGTGTTGTACAGATGTACTGTCGATATGCATCCTATACATACAGTATACACAATTATGGCCAAAAGGTCCCAATCAGTAAACTCTATTTTTTCTAATCATGTTTACTGATAGACATAGTATTATAGCTGAAGCTGGTAAGATGAATTTAAAGGAAGTGCTCAGTTTGATTCACTTTAAGTTTAGCAGCAACTTAACTCTTCCTAACATACTCTTTATGTAACTTGATGATGGGTGGGGTGTGTGTGTATGTCACTATATGGGGTTTTTAGAGTGATGAAACCATTCTAAAACCTGATATAAATGATGAATGCATAACTTTATGAATATACTAAATGCCATTACATTATACACTTTAAAGTTATTAATTTTGGGCTGGGGATTTAGCTCAGCGGCATAAGTGCCTGCTTTGCAAGCAGGCAGTCGTGAGTTCAATCCCCGGTACCGGTAAAAACAAAAAAGACAAAAAAAAAATTATTAATTTTATCATATATAAATTTGATCTCAATTAAAATGAAAGCACTGGGGGTAGAAAAATATCCATGGAATATTTCATGACATGAAAATATGATTATTATTGGGGAAAATATTAAAGTCAGCAGAGACTAAAACATTTTGGTACCTAAAAGAGCCCACAACTGGCAAATATGCTGGACTTGGTATCTGATCAGTAGATGGCACCACTCTTTCTGGGTACATGGAGCCAAAGTCTTCTTACCTACAGATAAAAGGCGCCATGAGACAGCCGGCGTGGCAAAGCAGGCAAACACGTCGTCGGTGCAGGAGAAGTGGGTGAGGTGCGGGAGGGTCACCGACTGGCCCCGGCACTGGCCCCACATGTACACGTGGCCCCCCTGGGTCTTGGCAGCGGATATGTGGGTGGAGTGACAGGCTGCGATTTCTACCACCCTGAAAAGATTTAAGTAAAGTGCATGTCACTTTCTCACACAGAAACCTTCAGCACACCACACATGGTAATTAAAAAGTTCATGCTTTGAACAAGTCACACAAAAAGCCTAGGATGGGGGACATCAGCAGCTTAGTCACACTGAGGAAGCCAAAGATGAGGGCAGAAGCAGTTATCTCTCCCGTCGAGGTCCTCACTTCCACCTGTGTGGATTCTGAGTTAGGGTGAACAGCAGGAACAGTGAGGAAACCTCAGAAAAGCAGGTCAGAGTAGGTGGAGCAAGTGGACAGTGACAAAATGTCCTGCTTGTTCAGAGGGCCAAGCAGTAAGGACAAAGTACGAGGACTATCCTACAACACGCCGTCTCCTTGTACCTGTCAGTCCTGGCCAGAGCTCAGCACACTCTAGCACCCGCCAGGCACTGCTTCAGGCCCACGGACTCTGAGTGCTCCAGTCTGAAGGCAACAGCAGCCAGACCTGATGCACTGTTTGCTATGCTTCTTTCAGCAGTGCTATGATCAGAACTCAACACTCGGGACTTAGTGGGGGAGACCTCACAATACGCTCCCATACACATTGAGCCAAGTACTCCAGTAATGAACAGTGAGTCAAATCAGTGTTTAACAGTGTCCTTTTTAAAAGCAAGTCTTGTTTATTTAAAAGTGGGATTAACAGGCTCTAGAGAGAAGTTTGCACTATACTCCGAATTTCAACACAGTCACAGACACTATCTGACTGCCCTCTACAGCAGGCAACGAAGCTGCACGGGGAGCGGCCAGCTTCGCGCCCGTTCTTGCGGCTACTCAAACCACTTTGTTCTATACGGGAGTGTTAATCAACAGTAGAATTGCAAAGCCAAACACCAGCGCTCTGCCACACACAGTTCCAAGACCACAATGCGCACACTGTCCCAAGACACGGCACAGCCAAAATTACCTTTCTTTCTCCACCATGATGTGTTCCGGGTTCAGCAGGTTATTTTTATTGCCAGTTCCCAGCTGCCCGTATGTGTTAGCTCCCCAGGCATAGAGCAAGCCCTCATCTGTTAGTGCTAGAGTATGTGCATAGCCACAGACAATCTGCAAGTAAACATAAATGGTTACCATTACCAAGAAAACAGGAAGGGCACGGGCACATCTACTTAAAGGTACAGTCAGCCTCTGCAAAATGCCAACTCGTCCTCAGATGTGGACTGACATTTGCTGGACCATGAAAAGCGTTAGGAAAGGTACAGCCTTATAGTACTGGTTTCCTCCATCAGTTTAATTTACCCACACTGATGTGCCAGTACTACTGGCTTCCTTCTCCTCATGGGATTCAAGACACAATGACAGCACAAGAAAAGAAATGACAAAAATAGTAAACCTCCAATATCCGTCCAAGTCAGAGCAGGGAAAACGGACAAGGGCTAGCTGGCAAGATGCTGCCACACACACCTGGTTCACACACACTCTGTGCAAAGCTGCCACTCTCATGGGGGTGAGCTGGTTGCCATTGTTTCCCAAACCCAGCTGGCCATTGCCATTGTAGCCCCAGCCATAGACCTGAAAGAAAGAAAGAAGCTCTGAGAACTGCAGTGAGAAGTGAAAATTCTGTCTGTCTGAACACATCAGGTACCCCAACCAGGTATCCCACTCCTATGTGATCCTCTAATTAATACCCAAATAGAAGGTACTTCAGAGTGGAGGAAAGAACTTGGCATCAGTGCCCCCTCCATGTTTCTGGTTAGACTGCTATGGACAAGTTCCTCATTCCTACTTTACAGATGAGGAAGCTGAGGGCCAAGAACAATTACTAAGCATCATGCTATGTCCGGATACCTTGCAAGGTACTTTCAAGTCTTTGATCACAGTTTAACAGAGGAAGTAGACACATGAAAAAATTGTTCTGGATAAGTATTAAAAGTTACAATACAGAGATAATCAAGGCACTCACTACAGGAATAATAGGGGAGAAAGCTTAGGAATAGCCTTCAACCACGCTCACTTTCTAGAAAAGTAGAGACCTGGGCAGGGTTGAAGGATGAATGAGGGTGAAGTTATTTCAGGCAGGTGACACAGAATGCGTTAGAGGATAGACGTGGGCCTGGCTGGACACACCTAGGGCAGTGGGGGAACAAAAGACAAAAAGGGGGAAAAAAAAGAGCCAAGCGAGAAAGAAACGGACAACACACCAGGAAAGTTGAATGTATCTAAAAATTTTTCACTGAAATATTTCAAAATAGAGAAATTTAATCAAATTTACATTTGTGAAAGATCACATTGGACCCAACATAAAGGGTGACGGAACATAAAAGAAAGAACACTCAGCAGGTCCTCTCATCTTCCATCAGCAAACAGATGAGCTCTGATGAGGGCCTGAAACAAGGGAACAAGAGAGGACGACCAGGAGCAAGGCTCTCAGACGTCTGGGGAGAGGAGGCCATCGCCAAAGACAGAAGAGCTGACGGGGCTTCACAGCTGTGAGGGTGGAAGGTTTAGAACAGCTAATGTGAGAGACAGGCAAAGAACTAGTCAGGAAGATAAAACCAGGTCTATCTCAAATCAGAAACCTAAGTCTTGCAATGATACTAAGCCCCACAGCAGTACAGGAAGATGCCTGCTGGGGCTTTTCAGGGCCATGTGACATAGCAAAGGAGGCACGGCCTTCAGGGTCCTCGCTAGAGTTAGTTAAAGTGTCAGACATGGATGAGAAATCAACTTTCTAAAGAGAATTTGGCAACAACTCTCAGTATTTTTCATGGGGTACTTCTTCACCCAAAAATTCTGTTTCTGGGAATTTATTCCATAGAAAAACTTATACAAGTATGCAAAGAAATAACTATCAGCTCAGAAATGACCACAGGAGAGAGTAGCTGAAGGATGAGTTTTCAAAAATACAAAATAGGGGCTGAGGATTTAGCTCAGTGGCATAAGGACCTGCCTTGCATGCAGGCAGTCGTGAGTTCGATCCCTGGTGCCGATAAAAACGAAAAACACACACACAAAAAAAAAACAAAACAAAACAAAACAAAAAATTCTGATATAGCAAATTGCCTCTTCTGTGAAGAGACAATCAAAACACGCAGTGCCACAAAACCTTTGTCGGCCTACTTTAAATGTATAGCTAACTTTCCCATTAGAAGAGCTAGGTGGTGTCAAATTCTTTGATCCATTACACTGAACTACAAATACTTCTAAGCATTTCATGGACCTTGCAAAAAATAAAACTTAGCAGTGCTAGAATCTTTATTTGCAAGCGAACTTAGGGATTTGAAGGAATCACTCTGAGGAATTAACATCTGGTTGGTCAGTGATAAATTAACATCAGTGCTAGCAAGCTAAAGCTAGCAAGATAAAGTTCTCCTTCTTCTGATGAAGAAAAACAAACATTTCACTAGGAGAGCGATGTGGAAGCAAAGGGAGAGGGGTCTCACCTCACCACTGTCGAGAACAGCCATGGATGAGGTCTGACCACAGGCAATGCCAACCACCCTCTTAACATGTAAACAGTTGGTAACCTTCCGGGGAGTCGGCTGATTTGCTGTAGATCCTGATCCCACCTGGCCACAGTTGTTATAGCCCCAAGCAAATACCTACAAGAGAACAGAAAGAGACAAATGAGTACTTAGATGTGTTCAGTAGTTCTAAATGCTTTATATACGTTCCATTTATTCCATCCTCACAATAACCCTGCGAAGTGCCCCACAGGGATGAATACATGGAAACAAATTCCAGTTTTATATATGGAAACTCAAGCAGAAAGGGTAAGTTTCTTGCGTGGGGTTCCAAAACCAGTAAACAGGACAAGTGAAACTTAAGTCTCAGCATCTTCCTGCGCTCTTAACCATTATGCCCTATTATAGCAACCATACATGCTTTATCCTGGCATTCATACACGCAAGTGTCAGTGATGTAAAACATCTGCTCAGTGGTATTCGTTGTGTTTCACAGAAATCCTTTGAATCATATTGTGCTTTTCCTGTCTTACTAGTCAGTGATTCTGGGCCTCACAGCCTTCCTGTGATGCAGAGGATCATCACAGGAAGGATCAGCTTAGTTCCTCGCCATAATGCAGTAATGCTCACAAGTGGCAGACATGTCTGTCCCTACAGAAATGACAGTGGAATTCGGCTCTGGTTGGTAAGGTCTGCTCTAAGTCTCATTTGTTATCTGTCAACTTTAGACAGCTTCCTTTCTCAACTGAAATCTCATGCCAATTTTTGACCTATTATTGTCTGACATCATTTGAAAACTGTATGTTTGCTGAAAAGAAACATAATTATCTCTTAGCTAAAAACCAACAACCAAAAATAAATTTTAAACAACAAATCTAGCAATAAAGATGGCGAACAAAACCCAAAATATCACTGTAAATTAACTACCAACTGACCTTACTAAACAAATGTGGCTAGAGAGAAGGAATTCGGAAAGGGGGTGTTGGCAGTACAGGAAGCAACTTCTTCCTGCACCGACAGGACTTTTAAGACCTCACTCCCGCTCTCTCTCACTTGCCTTCAGGAAACAGTCCACACACACCCCCACGTGGGTTCTATAATTCACTGTCTCCTCTGTGAGCGCTTCCTAAATTCACATGTGTGACGCTGCCCAAGACAACAGCGTCCAACCTCCGCTGATGTCTTTAAGAGAACCTGTTATGACCATGACACCTACATGAAAGGTTCATTTGACAGGTACAAAAGTAAGGTATGACACTTTTCTAAAGTGTTTTCCTAGAAATATCTAGTTTCATAACACAAATATTTAGCACAATCATCCAAAGCAGCATACTCTGAAGCTTAGGTTACAAAATCCAGCCTGTTGTACAAACGAGCAAGATCTGTGCGTTTTCAACAATCATTCCTAAGTACTTCTCAAATATTTGAAATTCCCTTAAAATGCCACTCTTTTATTTTAAAATGGTGAGTATAATCTTAATTAATCAAGAAATGGACTAGGAAACACAAAGTCTGTATGCTGTGTCTGACTCTAGCTTATCTCAGCTATGAAGTTTTATCTTCCTGAGCCTTTTGGCCTTTTCATGTATCACTTGTTCTCCTGAAGAACTCTGAAACGGGGACAGAACCTCTTTTGTTTGTGCTTCAAAAATCATAGGGAAACAGAAACGACTGACTGGACAGGTACCTCAATTAAAAAGTTATGAAACAGAAGAGACCACAGCAATAGTCAAGCAGGAAACGGCAAAAACAGAGCACAAAGGTAACAGCGGTGGAGAGGCGCAAAATGAACAAGATGAGGAATCTTTAAGAGAAGCAAGGAACTTGGGGCTGAACAAATGGTAGGATACATTCTTAAACGTTGCAAAAGTTACTGTTTCCAAAAGCACTATATATATTAAAAAACTTTTATCTTAAAGAAACAGTCATCAGGAAAATCAGGGACAGAACACTGTTATACACATCTGATTTGTAGTCTTCACAAAGAATATGAGATTCAGCTGCCTGAAGACTGAACTACAGGGGTCGGGGGTTTAGCTCAGAGGTGTAAGCGCCTGTTTGGCAAACGCGAGGTCATGAGTTAGATCCCCAGCACCAAAAAAAAGACTGAACTATATCATCAACAAAAGGCTAATTCTGACCACATAATACAGATTACACTGGAGGTGTGTGTTCTCACAATTCTCCTACCTACAAGCTATGCCAAATACAAACATGTTCATTTTTTTTTAATGCAGGGAATTCTCCAAACAGAAATGGAGAAGCTATCCAAATGTCCTCAACAGATGAATGGCAAACAAAGGTGGAATTATACACACAGTGGAGTATTATTCAGTCTTAACAAGGAAAGGTATCATGTCATGTACTACAAAAATGGATGAACTTTGCAGATACAAAACGAAATAAGACAGTCATAAAATAACAAATACCTCTAGGGTAACAAATGAAGTACCTAGAGTAGTTAAAATTACAGAGACAGCCCAGTGTGGTTGTGTGTGCCTGTTATCTCGGCACTTGGGAGGCTGAGGCAGGAAGATTGCTGTGAGTTAGGGCCAGCCTGGGTTATAGTGAGTTGAAAGCCAGCCTGAACTGCACAGTGAAACTGTCTCAAAAAAAAAAAAAAAAAAAAAAAACCCAAGGAAACAAAATATTACCATTACAATGGTCACAAGAGAATGGAAGGAAAAAAATGGAAACAAAGTTTTGGTAAATGGGGAGAGAATGAAGGGCTAAAGATGGGAAAGGGAATGGGGAAAAAAGAGCCAAGATGTACAAATCCCCTATGACAACTGTGACCATTTTATTTGGCAAACCTATACTAACAGAAAAACAAAACAATCAAAACAGAAGAACCGTTGCTAGGATCTTGCAGAGAAGACAACTGGAAGTTAATGTTTGACAGACACATAGTTTCAGTCTTGCAAAACCATAAAGAGGTTCTGTCCCTGGGTGGTGGGGGTAATTGCATAACAATGTGGAAGTATTTAATGTCACTGAACTATGCTAGTAAAAAATGGTTAAGATGGAGTCTTAACCAAAGACTGGGTCAGGCTGCTGGGGTCCTGGGCTCCAGCCTAGAGGATTTGGGGGAGAGGGCACAGTCAGTAGAGGACCCAGGACCCACAGGCAGGTGAATTCACAGGTATGCCCCGCGGTGGCACCATCAGGTCCCCAGAGGACCAGGCCTGGGGCCAGTGTAGAGCTTAAACAGGAATGATAACAAAGGCCACACTGAGGGTGGCAACAGCAGCTGGGACTCTATGGCTTGTCCTCCTCATTACATCGAAGAGGGAAACTGAGGCACCACGAATAATGTTCACGTCACCACACATAGTGTTACGTGTGACACTTTATACACTGAATAGCAGTGTTATTTTATTCATTATTGTACCCCAAATTAAATAGCATTAAAAAAGATGGGAGCTTGGAATATAGCTCAAAGGTACAGTGCTTGTCTAGTATGTGCCAGGTCCCAGGTCTGATCCTCGACACTACAAAAAACACATAGCTGTAACAGGTTAAGATGGTCAGTTTTATGTACCTTTTATCACAATGCTTTAAAGAATAAAGCAGCACACTTACCTCTCCATCAGCTGCCAGAGCCATTGAATGATGTGAGCCACACGCTACCTCAACAACCTGCTTAATTAAGAGATTGGTGCAGACCTGGATCGGGGCAATGCCTTGGTTGGTCGTCCCATTTCCCAGCTGGCTGTATCCATTGTGGCCCCAGGCATAGACCACTCCATCTATATACACAGTGCAAACAAAGAATCAGCTCTGAGAGGAAATTCCAAGTCCTATTGTTTCTTTCCAGACTTTGTAGAACTCATCATGTTAACTCTCACTTCTCTCATATTGCCTCCTTTTCTCTTTAGAAAGTAACCACCAATGGGGTGAGGCAGAGGAGACAAAAAGAAATAACAAACAGGATGGATAGAAGGACTTAATACTATATAGAAGATCAGCTTTGGGGTTAGAAGTCAAAGTATATATACAATTGGACTTTCTAAAAAGTTTATCACAGCAACTTGTATGTCAGGTACCGTTGTAGTTAGGGGTTACCAGGAAAACAATTACATACAGGACACATAATTTATAGTATTATTTATAATGGTCAACCAGGGAATCAACTACAAAGAATCTGTCCACACACTAAAGACCTAGAGAAATCAGCCAAGGGCCTGGACCGCATAGCGGTGATCTGCATGAGTCCAGCTGAAGACCTCCTGCCCATGACAATGCCCCCCATAAGCCCAACTGGAGGTCTAAAGTCCACGACAATGACTCATACAAGTCTATTTCACGGATCGGTGCTGGGAAGGCCCCAAGGTCAGCAGCAGAAGCTAGAAAGGCTGTGCCAGTGGATGAAGGATCTGTGCCAGCCGGGTGAGGACTCTGCAGTGGAGCCAGGAAGCAATATTCAAGAAAGAACAAGACCTCCCTCCAAAAAGTACCACAGCCATCCTCAGCGACGATGAGGTCCTAAGCTCCTCTGACAATGAGAACAGCTAAATTCATATCAGGCATTCAGTGTGACAAGTTTCTCCTGGAGATTGTGCAGCACACCATCTTCCCCTCCAGAGCCAGGAAGCGATGCTCGATGTCAGGACAACAGCTCCCCGACTGAACTACAGCCATTCTTAAAGAGAAAACATTGAAAACAAGGACCCGAGCTCCCCTGATTATGAGAACAGTAAAGAAACTCAACAAACTCCTTCAGGAGAACCCACAGCAACAGGAGCACCAATCAACAGCACCAAACAACAACAACACTGAGAAGCAACAACACTTTCTTCCTCTCCAGATCTCTTTTTATCCTGACAACAACCCTCAGGTGCGCCATCCACACCTAGCACTAAGCTGATTCAGTTCAGCAGTTACGTCCGTTGACCAGCTGTTATCCATCCACTACAGGTACAAGCTTTTTAAGGCAAATGTCACAGGAAAGCTCAACACTGTTACAATCACTTTCCCAAAAACCAGGGAACCTTGGAGGAGGTATACATAACTCACAAAGCACAGAGGAAACAGATATGCTGTTCACAAAGGAAACAAAACCCACAAGGTTTCTCAGAGAGACTATTTCAGTGACACAAGATTAGCTGAATTTTTTTGAAGGAGTTATAAAGCATCTATTTTATTATGTCCATTTATTCTGTGTCAGGAATTTGAACCAGGGACAATAACAATAGCCAGTCTTTACTTCCTTCCCCATGTGTGATCGCAGGAAGAGCAAAGGCTAGGGATGACTCGGCCACTGGCATCATCAGGTGGCATCTCTGCTAACACAATGACTATCTTCAGAAAGTATGATCAGTGTGTTACAAAGAGACAACTCTAGTGCTACATGCTGGTATCCTAGCACACTGGGAGGCTGAGACAAGAGGACCAAAAGTTCAAGCTTAATGTGGGCAACGTAGGAACTTCGCAACACCAAATGTTAAAATAAAAGATGTTTTGAAAGCACTGACAATGTAGCTTAGTATGATGACATGGTTTCAAGCACCAGTACTGGAAATACATACATAGAGAGACAACTCAGGAACAGCCAAATAGAAGAACATCACAGGGCAAAGACAAGGCAGGAACATGTAGCTTCTACAAAGTCACCTTCCCAAGACCTCCATGTGTTCCCAATATGGAAGCTCCTGTGTCTGAATTTGTTAAATAACTTTATGTTTCCAAGATTCTGACAGAGGGAACTATTTGTTTTGCGTTCTGTTGAAGCATCACTGTTTCATGCATTTCTTCCCACAGTCTGCCTGAGTATCAAGGGCTGGTCTTCCCAAGTTGTATGGTCTTCTCTTTTCCATGGTATGACTTCTTAAGGTCAACCTAGATCTGGTGGAACACAGTATTCAAATGCAACAACAGAAATCCAGAGTCCTGGTCAGGGTGCTAGCTGACAGTATTCCCCAACCAACCAGGGGAAAGGTACAAGACTCCACAAGGCTTCTGATTTTCTACCTAGAATGACAGCAGCCCTCACAAACAGCATTCTCCAAAAGATATAAAGTCAACCTAGAGAACTGCTAATGTGCCCCAGCAGAGGTGTTCCCACCACAGAAAGGACGACAGAACCACAGAAAGGAATTTCATCCTAAAAAGGGTAAGACTCAATACTAAAAGAGTATAAAACCTCAGAAAATTATCCACAATATTATGTGAAAGTTACAGCAAGAGAAATAAATGTCTGAGCCTATGAGTGTTTTACCTTCTGAGGAGAAATAAAAACCATCGTCTCGGACAGGGAAAAATGAGTATTATAAAGATACAACTTTTTCCTATATTGTAAACTTGAACAACACTAAAGTCCTTCACATTACTTTCTGGTACTTGACAACTCCTGCAAAAAAAGGAGCAAGAAAATAGCTAAACCTACATTTTTAAGTCTTATAAAAGCTAGTTACTTTAAAATAAAATTTACATCAGAAACATCATGAGCAAACAAAAAAATCAAATATTGGGAAAAATATTTGTAATTGATCTTAGTAAGAGGTAATATCCCATATATAAAAGAACTGCTAAAAATCCAAAAAGGACTAAAACTTATAGAAACAGGAACTAAAAATTCAGAAATGGATATATAATGGTTCTTAATCATATGAGACTGTCAACCTCACTCTTAAGAGGAAACACGCAAGATTCTGGGCCTGGTGGCTCAGATGGTGGCTCACGCCTGTGATCCCAGCACTCGGGGACTGAGGTGGAGGATCGTTGTGAGTTCGAGACCAGCCTGGGCTACAAAGTGAGCTCAAGACCAGCCTGCAATGCAGAGTGAGACCCTGTCTCAAAAAGACAAAAAATAAAAAATAAAAGAAGAAGAAAAATGCAGGATTTGAAGGTAATATCACTCAGTGACAGAGCTCTTGCCTAATGGGCACATGTCTGTCAAACTGATCCCCAGCACTAGGGCAAAAAACAGAGAGACAGACAGACAGAGACAGAGAAGACAGAGAGAGGAGAAAAGAGGAAGAAGATGACGACAATGGAAGAGGAGTAGCAGAAGCAGCAGCAGCAGCAGGAGATGGAGGAGGAAAAAAATGCAAATGACATCTTAAAACACAACACTGACTCCTATTCACCAAAGCTGATCTAGCCCAAGGTCCAGCATGCCACTAACAGGGACTGATGCTGAAATCTCCCTCAAGGAGATCAGCCAGTTGCGTAGTACCAAGTTGATTACAATTACAATGGACACTTTAGATATGGAAAGGGACAACCATTCCTATTGACAAAAACCAACAGGTGTGTTTCCTGCCTGCTCTACCCGCCTCGATGGCATACCTAACCGCCGACACAGCATTCTCCCAAACAGTTCATCAGACCAAGGGACAAGCCCTACAGCAAAAGAAGTACAGTAGCGTGTACACGTGACCATGGGGTTCATGTTTCTTTCACATGCTGCATACCCAAAAGCTACCAACCAGAGAGCAGAATGGATGCACCAGCCACAGGCGCTGGCAAGGAGAGCGTACCGTCTAAGGACGGGATACTGTCCAGCCATGTGACACATATGATCTACAGCAATGACCACTCCATGGTGCTATTTTCCTATTAGCAGAACAAATGTGTCCAAGAACCAAAAATGATATAACAAATGGCCTGCTGACCAGGATCCCTTGAAGGACTTGAGTTTCCTTTCACTGTAATTTGAGGTTCCACGGGTTTTGAAGTCTCAGTTCCACAAAAGGCCACAAAGAAAGTCCCACTGAACTTTGAACCACAGCTGCCAGGAACTCCAAGTGGCTCTACCAAGACAGCAACAGGAAAGAAGAGTCACGGTCCTGGTAGGAAGAGGCAGGACTACTGTTGTAAGAGAACGGCAGGCTAGAATGTCTGACACCCAAGTGGCAGTTGGAAACTTTTTGTGCACGTCTGTCCAAAAACAATGGCGAACAGAATCACAGAGCAGTCACGGCGACAAGGGTTTAGAATCCTCACATAGGAGTGTTTGCGTCACTCAGTCAGGTAAACCATACAAGCCAACCGCCAGCCACTATTGTAAAACAGTGCATATAACACATCTTTCTTCTCTTTTTCCTTGGTGAAGTACAGAAAACATTAACTCCATCATGAGCTGACTCAATCCCAAATCATGGACAAGGGGCTCAAAACAACTGTCTACCTGTAACATCTACTTCTCCAGCCCTTCCCTGGCCACACTGTCTCTAGTAGACCAAGGACTAAATTTCAGAGACCACTTGAGACGTAAGAGAAAATTTACCTAAGGGTTTAACAATACGGTGGGGGAGGGGGGGGGGAGAGCGTGGGGGGGAGGCAAGAAAGTACACATAAATTTCTGACGATTAAGGAAATTCAGTTTTTACGGTAACTATCTTTAATTTCCTGTTAACTTAAACTAAAACCCTGTATTACTTACATTGTCTTACAATGACTGATCTTATTTGAATCTGGTTTGTTAGACTGCTGTTTTGTCTTGACTGATTTTATTCAAATTTGGTATGCTTGATAGTATCAAGTCTAAGAGTAGAGGCAAATACTCTGAAGATGACAAGATGCAATAAGATACCCGTTCCAGTGTGATTATTAACTGCTTTTGAAGTCCTCCAATGTCTCCAATGTTGTTTTTATTAAAATTGCTATGTAATGCTATGGTCAGTTATATTATGCCTCATGATACAGACAATTATATTGAAAATAACCAGAGAAATCTTATTAACAACTGTAGATAACCTAGTATTGTGGTTTATGTGTCATTTTCGTTTCATGTTTTTCTAGGAAT